ATGCAACTAATAAATAAGTCATTTAATTGGATTTTTTTATCTTTTCTATTATTTCTATTATTAGTAAGTCATTTATATGGATGAAAATTAAAATGTACAATTAAGACAACATGAACTCCCCATGAGTAAATAGTTTAAATCTTGCTTTTATAATTATCATGTTACATTCAAAACAAATTTATAATTTCAACGTAACAATTGAGTTAGTTACATAAAAATCATATTCACCGAGCTTAATATGAACATGAATTGGTTATCAATTGGTTGAGACAAATATCATTGACCGACCGATCTGAGGTTCTAATCCATACTCCCGCTTGTTGTATTCATGAAAACTATAACATGTGAAAAAAAAAGCTATAATATTATATTATAATTCTAATGTTTTAGTGTTTTTTTAACTTAGTTATTTAAAAATTTTCAATTTAGTCTTTTATATTATAAGATTTTCAAGTTAGTCTCTCACGATTGACGGATGTTAAAATTGACTAATTATAAACTTACACGTCATAATACTTAATGAATTAGCGAAATTTAGAGGGTAGAAATATTATAATCCTTAGTGTGTGCACAAAAAATTATAGAAGAAACAAATATTATCTTAGACAAGAAAAATTTTAAATTTATAATATTTTCTTTAAAAATTTTAAATTTCTAATAATTTCTTAAAATTTTGGAGGAGTAATGAGAGTCTAAAGTTATATTTTTCCTGTCTCCTCCAAAATTTTACCAATTTCATGCCAAATTTAACTTGCTAGAGACTAAATTAAAAAATGTAAAACGTAAGAGAGGAAATTGAAATTTTTTATCAATGATGACTAATTTAAAAAAACAAACAAATAAGTAAAATATATAATTGTTCATAAAAGTGTTCAACCAATCAAATAAAATTGTATTATCTTTTGTTTATTTGAAAAATGAAATTACATTATAAGAATATATAAAACTAATCCTATTTAATTTTAAAAAATAATTAAATTGAATAATTTTTCATCCAATTTATTCAACATTTTAAATATTAAAAAACACATTCGTGCATTGCACGCGGTAAAACACTAGTATATTAAAAAGTTAGATAACAAATACTCTGAAATTTAAAATATTGTAAAGATGGCATGTTTTAAGAAGTTTTTTATTCTAATCAATTTAATTTACTAAGACAATTTTAAATTCGTAGAATGTGTATTTATAAATTATTAGTAATTTCGAAATTCAAATGATTTATTAAAATTATAATAAATAGTAACTTAAAAAAGCATAACAAATATCAAACAAAATTGATCATCAAAAATATAAAAATGGTTAACAATGAAATGAGAAATTTAGAATGAGCTTTCTTTATTTACATAAAATAAATATTCAAATGAATGATGAATTTGATAGGAGATTGACTTGATTTAATTGGAATTGGATACTTTCTTGTGCATTAGTTTAAAACTTGCACCAACATATCAACTAAGAAACCAATAAGAAATAGAGAGTGAAATAGATTAAAAATTTCAAAGAACAACTAATTATGTTATAGAATTTGAATTTTACAGTTAACAAATGAATATTAATTATAATTATTATTTAATAAATGAATATTAATTATAATTATTATTTAAATTTTTACCGTTACTTAAATGATCCATTATTTTTTTTATACAGATTGTTTCACATCTATTAAATTTAATTTAATATGAAATGGTCTTCTTTTATTTAATTTTATCTATTGTTTTTTTTTCATTAAAAAAACAATCTAGTAACTAAACATTGAATAGTTTAGATTTAAAAAATATCATTTTTCAAACTTTAATTTCCTAACTGTTTTCTATTGTAATTCAAATTTGAAAATAGAATCATACAAGAATTCAAAATTTTAAATTGTTTCATATTTGAAATTCAATTCTAAAAATTGTTTTCTAAGTCAAGAATTCAAAATTAATTGGTTTAATGGTGAATGTTTTTATATTCCTTCTTAAATTAATTTATATATTAAATTAAACATGTAAAAGTTTAATGTATATTTATGATTATTACAAGTTTAATGTATATTTATGATTATTCCATGTCTGAAGTTTTTGTTTAGTTTTTTTTTTTATTTTTAAAATTAGAATGCAATATAATATTGTATAAAATTTAGATGACGGATCTATTTTTAAAATGTTTTACAAACATTATATTTAATTGAGGTATAATCAAATATAGTTATAATAGAATTTTATGAAATTGATATAATTATCTAGTTTTTTTTATACATTACACATTGTGCTTTATAATATCTTGTTTGATACATTATTAAATAATAATATAATTATTTTAACACTAAACATTGAATTTTTAAATATCATAATCAAAGCTTAAAAACATTGACTCCCAAAAATATAATTCATTAGAATAGAAAGT